AACTTGAGGGTGCAGGTTTACAGAATTAATTTTTTTGAACAGCATGTTCCGATAGAATAACAAAAATCTCAACAAAAATAATGGGGAGGATCAACAAGGATGATTACAAAGTTGCGTGGAAATCAGTTGAGAATCCCCGATCAAAGCTGTCCTAGGAAATTTTTTGAACTTGAGGGTGCTGGATTACGGAATTAATTTTGGACTAGGTGTTCCGATAGAATAAGAAAATTTCAAAAAAAATGGTGGGAAGGATTAACAAGCATAATTATGAATTTGCGTGGAAATGAGTTGAGAATCTCCCGATCAGAGCTGTCCTAGGAAATTTTTTGAAATTGAGAGTGCGAGTTTACAGAATTAATTTTGAATTGCGTGTTCCGATAGAATAGAAAACTTTTTAGATTATTATAAATAAATCTAGAAAAGGGTTTATTTGAAAATTTGAATTTCAATCACTCACATGGGCCGATAAGTCATCTTTCCAAAATTAACTTTAGAATGTGAAATTTTAGGGATTTACATAGAGAAAGAAAAAACTAAAACGTGGAAAAGTGAATCTTTATTAGGAAAAGTAGAATAAAAGCCTAAAATTACATGTACTTGGAATTAAAATTTTCAAAGTTCGGAAAGATCAGAAATAGACAAAAAAAATTATTAAGCGAGAAAAATAAGAATTAAGAAAACCACTTTTTAGGGAATTAAGAGAACCACTTTTCCAAGGAAAAATAAAAAAATATTCAAAAATCCGTCACTCCTGCTGTTTAAGGGGGCCACATTCTGACCATTATAAATCTATAATTTTGGCACAAAATTTTGGCACCAATGTTAGTAAGGTGTAAAGAGGACTAATTTTGGTTGATAGAAAATAATGATTAAAATTTGTCTCATAATGGTCAGACAGCGGCGGCCCTTAAAGGAGTTGTGTTTCGGTTATTTATCCAATGGAGTATCCAAACAAATTTTTTTAAAAATTTTAAATCAAATAAAGGTTCAAAAATAGACTCAAATACACCATTTATAGAGGCACTAGAACTATGACGTTTAAAAAAAACAAAATTTAAATAAAAAAATTTTTTTCGTTATCAAAATCAAGTAAACAATAAACAAAAATAAATTAACAATCAAGTGATCATTTGAAAAAAATTAGAAGCTAAAAAAAATAATTTTTGTATGACCGCGACTTTTTTCAAAAAATAAAAGAAAATGTACTCAAGGGTTAATGAGCATAAAATTTTGGTAAAAAAATTTATTTTTTCAACCTAAAAAAATAATTAAAAGGTATACGCGTAATGAATAGTGGCGGAAAAATTTTGAAGAAGAAAAAAAATTAGGGAGGAGATATATCTCTCTAATTGATGATAACACAAAGTGCTAACTAAAAAATTAAGGACGAGAAGGTAGAAAAAAATAAAATTAAAATTAATGGAAATTAAAATATAAAATTTTGAAAACTTGAAAAAATGGATAGGAGAAAAAATTTATATATGAGAGAAAAAAATAAATTAAAATTAGGCAACCGAAATTATACCTTAAAACTGTTTTAGACGCCGAAGGGCTTAAAGAAATCCAACTTAAAGTTACATGAAAATTTCCAGAATTGAAATAACGTATTTCCTCTAATAAAATTCCATGGCCTTCTATTTTTCAATCAACATCCAGAGAGGCATTTTATTAAGGGGTGGCATTCAATAGGAAAATATATTAGTGGGGGTATCAGTTCGACCCCAAAAAATGAACAATGGATTTTTCAGTTATTCTCGCTTCGGTCTGGTTCTGGATAACAGAAAAATTTTCCAAAAAGTAACAATCCTAAAGATTAGACTAGCTCTCGAAAGATCTCAATTTTAAAATTTATTTCTCTCTCGATCCTATCCTTAATAAGACTCTCGTTCCTATCCTTAACAACCTCTGACAAAATTTTAAAAAAAAAAGTTATATGCTAATCATTACAATTTTAATTTTTTTAGAAGAAAATAAAATAAAAGGAACAAGATTTTTGCAAGTAAATTATGAAAAGAGAGAAAAGAAAATGCGTAAAACTAAAAGCACGTAAAAACCGCAATCACTACAACCCCCCCCCTCCTCTCCAAACCCCCTTCTCCTTTCTAAAGTTAGTTAAAACGCCCACACAACAATAATAATAACAACAAGAACAACAACAAAAAACGCCATTACATATTAATGATAAAAAAATATCCAACAAAAAAATGCTTTCTCTCTCTCCTCTCTCTGTTAATCAAAAATTTCCTGTTTTATAAAAATTTTTTTTCTTGTGATTAATGCTATAAATAAATTTTTTATATTTTTATTTATTTTAATATTTTTCGCTCCCGTAATTTTTATTTTTTAAATGGGAGTGGAAATGAATAAAGAATATTGTTAATAATACGGTCGGATCTAGGTTCTATAAATATTTCACAAATTATCACAGGAGGAGAAGGAAGAGGAGAGGGGGTAATTAATCGAGAGAGGTGGTTATTCAAGGAAGGCACTTATACAAGTACATAGAAAAATATCCCCATTTTAGATTTAAATATCCCAATTTGATTTAGATATCCGTAATCAGAAGAAATCAAAAAGACTTATAAGAATAAAAATACACTTAAAAAATATTTTTGAAAAAAAAAAGAATCAGGGGGGGTAATTATTTGAAGGAGGATAAATTTTTTAGCTTTTTTAAATTTGAAAGTGGTGTGGATTAATTAGTTGTAATCAATAAGGTAATTATTAATTACCCCCTCTACTCACGCTAGAGATACAGGAGGAGAAGGGCAAGGGGGAGGAGAAGGGAGAGTGGGGTAATTAATTTAAAGGAGCGATTATTCGAGGAAGGGTAATTAATCGAGGTAATTAAAAAATAAAATGAAGGGTTAATATTTTTAATTTTTTTAATGTTTATTTAAATTGTCTTTCTAAATTAATTATAATAGTTAACAACAACAACAAAAAAATGATCAGTCAAACACAAATTAAAACAGGCGCGGCATTTAAAATAAATTAAATGTTGTTGTAGTAATCGCAGAAAAAATAATTTTTTTTGTTGTTGTTTTATTTACAACTTTTTTCGCAAATTAATTAAATAAAAATATAAATTTTCCTCTTCATTACTTCCCAAAATAAAAATTTAGAAAAAAAAGAGAGGAGTAAATTTCCAGTTAATTTTTTTCTGTCGTTTTATTTGCCCGAATATATATAATTATTTTTATTTTCTACATACGCCTAATTTTGTATTTTAATAAGAAAAAAAAATTGAAAGAGATGTGTGGATTTTAAATTTAAAAATTAAAGATTTTAATTAAAAAAAAATCAGAGATCACGCATATAAGTAAAACTAACAAATAAAGGATGAAAAAGACTAGGGTTGAATCGAAGAACTCAGGATTTTTCAGGTCAGTTCTTCCGTTCCGGATAACTAAAAAAAATTTTTTTCTCTATGAAAGACTCTCCTTTGAATAATACCCAGGGATGATTTGAGAAAAATCCCAAAATATTTCTGCCCTCAAGGTTTCAAACGATTTTTGATCATGAAGAAAATCCCTTTGGAGAACACAATACGACGTCTTTCAGAAAAATCGACTAGATAGTTGACTAAAAATCCTGATAATTCAAGGATCGAACTGATCAAAGATCTAAATCAGTTAAAAATAAAATAAGTGCTACCTCTAAATGTTTTATTAAAATTTTAAATAAAAGCGGTTTTAACTCGAAAAAATAACCCAAAATAACAAATGATCTACAAAAACATGAGCGTCCACACAAAAACTATCTTTTAAAAAAAAATAGTAAATATCAAAATATTGAAAAAAATAGGTTCAATTTTAGAAAAATAAAAATATTGGTATTCTAAAAATAAATGATCCCACGCAAAAATTAATAAAAATTAAAAATAGTATATCAAAATACTAAAAATAAATATCAAAATAATACTAGAAAATGTTCAAAATTTAGAAAGAAAATAAAATTTAAAAATAAAAAAAGGTGCATGATTTTTAAGGTAAATAAAAATCAAAAAAAAATTAAAAAAAATTTTTTTCAATCACACACTAATCAAAGTAGTAAATAAATTAAAAAAGACTAAATTTAATTTTCAACCTATCAATATTCATTAAAAAAATATAGTGATTAGAGACTTGAGGGCAGTATAAACTACAGGCTATAATATAATTTCAACCCCTTACTAATTTTAACTAAGATAAGTATTTTTTGCTAGTTTATTCCTTACTAATTTTTATAATGGTAATTTATATTTATTTTTCTAAAAAATTTTTTTTGCCAATATTTTTTTAATTTTTGCTATATGCAAATATTTTTATTTTTCTGATAATTAATTGCCTAAGTTCCGTTTCATTTTTCCCCTATTTTGTTAATTTCCTGTTATATTTTTATTAATTAATAATATATTATTTATTAATAATTTATTAAAGTTTTTTTTAATTATTTTTAAAATAGACACACTCACTTTTAACATGTGAAAACGGAGAAAAGATATTTCTTAAAAATTCCGAATAAAATAATATCATTATTAAAAACTTGAGGGTCGATAAGGATTAAAGATCGATAGCCAAATCTCGATAAGATGGCGGCACGACCGCTATAACAAAAGCTATATCGTTATAACATGATAGAATCGATGACTAAAATATATTCCTCGTTATTGAACTCTAAGGGCAATGAACGTGCTGTTCCAATTCCCAAAAACTAGGGACTTCCCGAGGTCAAATTTTCAATTGGCCAATTGGTTGGATTTCCATTTGGATTTGGATTGGCCAAATTGGATTACCAAAAATTCCAAAAGCCGGGAATTCCCAAAATCAGGAATTTATTCTTTATCAGTACGTTACCAGGTGCAAACATAAAATTAAGGAGCCGTAATATTTTAAAGACTATCTTAAAGACTTGATATATCGAAAAATTTTTATTTCGGAAATCGAAATTTCGCTCGTATCAACACGTTAAAAGTGAGCGTGCCTTTAATTTATTTTTAGAAAAATTCAAAACCCCACCATTGCCATTAGGACAAGATTTGTTAGCAACAGCCATATCAGCAGCAATATTAGCACTAATATTTTCTGTGGGGGATTGAGAAGCCCATAAATTGACTAGACTACGTTGAGCATTACTTTCTTTTTTACGACGAGGACGAATTGACCAGATTGTTCCAAGGATCATTGAATTAGTTTTTGTTTCACGCTTTTTGTTGTCTTTAGAAATTGTTCTTTAAAAGGAAAAAAATTTTTTTAGAAAAATTTGAAAAAATGTTTAAAAAGTAGAGATCAAAGCCTTATAAATTACATCAAAATAATTTAATTAAGTTTAGATAATTCCTGAGAGCTGACCTATAAATTAGAGTAGGTCTGCCCTGACCTACAATAAGCCACAAGATTTAAAAATAGAATCTCCCACATGCGTGAAAAAAAGCTGTCCAAACGATAAAAACACTTCGTTATAAGGAATCATTTTTTAGCCCAAAGGTGTATCTTATACCTCAGAATTATAAACCTCAATTTAGCTACATTTTTTAAAAATTTGGTTGGCTATAGAGCGGGGAAGGAGACTAAGCAGTACCCCTTATTTAAGATAAATTACATTATAGGGCCAGAATTTTGAGCTAGTTACAGTCGATTATGAAAATGTCGATCATCTCCTAGGGTAATCGACATCCTCAATAATCAGGATGTATATCTCGATATACCATTCAGACTTAATTTTTTAAATTTTGCCTAGGCATAATTCAAACCTAGAAAATCTCCCAAACTCACAAAAATTAAAAAAACAAAGACAAAAAGCAAAGCAAACAAAAACAAAAAGATGACAGGAAAGAAAATAAAAGCAACAACAGAAAAATTAAAAAATTCACCTATTAGCAGCCCCATCCATAGCCATTTCAGCAACACAACTTCCACCACTTATTGTTGCATTACCCAAATTGTTGTTGCTGCTAGTGATCAAGGTCCCATTATTTTTTGGTGCAACTTTTCCACCTCCACAAACCCGGTTATTATTGTTGTTGGTAGTTGCCCCCAATAAATGTCTAAGTATTGCACATTTTGTGCTGTGATGATTGGTGGAAGTAGTCAAATGTTTGGAGGACTTGACCCTAAACATAGCTTGTTGCTGCTGTGTTTGTTGCTTCGTCTCTTTCGGCTTCTGCTTCTTCTCTTCATCTACCTGTCTTGCTTCGACTTCTTTCTGAGCGCTTTCAACTTCCTTAACTGCTTCATGACCTTCTCCATCACCTCCTCCCTCCCCTTTCAAATCTTCCTTTTCATGCTCTTCCACCGCCGCAACAATCGCTGCCAGTTCAACAGAATCCTCCACAGCCAGCTGCACAATACTTTTTCTTCGTGTAGCTGCAGAAGTAATATTCCCTCTCCTTCTTTGCTGTGTTGATACGCCTCTAGGAGGTGGACGTTTACGAGGAAGTGTAAGTGTTGATGTATAAGAAAAGGGAGAAGTACTAGTTGTCAGGTTCGTTGTCAGGTTATTAGCCCTGCTTGAAACAGCTCTATGAAGAGCCAATTTTTTATTATTTTGTCGTCTATCAAGTGTTTGACATGTGCTAATATAAAGTATTGGAGAACAATTTGTAGAACGACGAGTAGCTCGAGAAAGTCGTGGAGGGAGTGGAGGAGCTGTTCTTTCGACTTGTTTGTGATTTGGTTTTTTAAGCAAGGTTGAGGATGTTGCTGATTTTTGAAGAGAAGTATTGTCTTCTTCCTTATCTAATTTTCCGTCTCTTCCTAAATTTTTCTTTTAATTTATCATTAAAAAGGTTGGTAAGTTTCAAGTACGTTTCCTTTCTCTTTCCCTTAGTCTAAAGGCTCATAATGGTCAGACTTTCTTCATTGCATTTTTAATTTCTAATACTTGGATGAATAGATGTATACCGTAGAAAAATTAAGCGACGTTAAGGAAGAAAGAAAGACTGACCATTATGAGCCCTCGCGGATGAACAGGGAGAACGAATAATGATCAGACCTCTTCCTCGTATTTTTAATTCTAATATTTAGTTGAAAATGCATAGAGAATAAAGTGCAATTGAGAAAGGTCTGACCATTATGAGTAGTGTTATTCACGGTACGGTATTACCGCGGTATTTTTCGGTAATACCGCAGTATTTTTACCGAAATACCGATACCGAAACCGATACCGTCCAGTTTTTAAAAAATCGGTATTTTTTCGGTATCGGTATTTTACCGAAATACCGATACCGATACCGATACCGCCTCAATCAAAATACCGCGGTATTTTTCGGTATTTCGGTATTTTCCTGGTAGACCAAAAAGTGAGTTTTTTCGCCTACGGCCTTCCGAAATTTTCAAAATTTTCGCCTGCGGCGCTGAAAAAATAAGAAAGTTGGCTTCCAATTCTAAAATTTTGGCTTCCGGCGGTTAAAAATGGAAGAAATTTGGCTTCATGGCCTTCAAAATTTTTCAAAATTTTCGCCTGCGGCGCAAAAAATGAAAACTGTAACGAAATAAAGAGTAATTTTGCCGTGATGTCGAAGGAGCAAAGGTGGATGAAGGGTGATATCGGGGGATTTATTTGGATTGAGGTGGATTCGGGGAGATATCGGAGGTTTTAGAGGTGTATCTGGCATTTCAAGGTGTTTGCAGAGGGAGGTATAAATCAGTGGATTAGACATCTTCACCAGATACTTTTAGCCTTTATATCCCATTTAATCCCCAAATCCACTGATATTACTCTTAATCCATCCAAATCCATTTAATCACTGTCTCTTATTATATCACTCTTAAACATTAGCTTATTAATCCCGCAAATCAGTAATATCCCCAGCCTTTCCGAAAAATTTGGCTTCATGTTCAAATTTTTAACTGACCCGACCCGAAACCCGACCCGAAACCCGGACTTTTTTCGACCCGAAACCCGATCCGAAGAAAATTTTGAAAACCCGACCCGAAACCCGACCCGACTTTTTTCTCAACCCGTCCCATCCCTGCAGTAAATGCAGAAATGTTAATTTTTCTGAACCAAACACTTCCATTGATTCATTACAAATACTAGATTCACTATTTATTCACTATTTATAAACTTATTTTACATTTATTGTATTAAATTAGCTCATCTGGTAAATTTTCAAAAAATACCGAAATACCGCGGTAATACCGACTATTTTTCGTCGGTATTTTTCGGTATCGGTATTTTACCGAAATACCGATACCGATACCGATACCGCCTCAATCAAAAATACCGCGGTATTTGCGGTATCGGTATTTTACCGAAAATACCGATACCGATACCGAAAAATCGCGTTTGAATAACACTAATTATGAGTCCTTTTACGGGAAAAGAGAAGGAACTAGGGCTGCACGCAATTGCGGATTGCGAGTTGCGGATTGCGTAAATTGCGGGGGTTTTACAATTGCGAGTTGCGGAATCTTTTATTTCAATTGCGTGCAGCCCTGGAAGGAACGAACTTGAAAATTGCCAAAATCTCCATCCTCTTCCTACCTCTATTATTTGAAGATTGTTTAATGATTTTCCTCATTTCTACTTCTTCTTCCCTCCCATTATCTCCTTCCTCTTCCTCATCCACCCCAAAACTATCTTCATTCACATTTCTCAATGTTCTCAACCCCTTCCGTCGACATTTAAAAAGAAATTCATCAAATCGTTCCAATAGGTCTTCTTCAATCCTATAACGAGCTAATTGTTCATTTGGCAGTAATTGTTGTTCACTACTGTCTTCCTCTTCAACTGAAAGCATATTATGAACTTTAGAAGAGCTAATAAGTGAGGGTTCGCTATCCTGGCCTGTGCCAATAATTGAAAACGGCCTTTGCTGCAAAATTGACGAAGAAAGAATTTCTTGGCATTCTGTTTTTTCTTCTTCTCTTCTTTCACTCTTCTCTCCTCTTGATGAACTATTTATCGTTTGATTAGAAGCTCGAAAGCGTACTGGGGTTAAAGCTGAATTGGCGTTCTGATTAAAGCTTCTTTCCTTTCCTTCATCTTCTACACCCTTTCCCTCTTTATCATTCCCCTCAACCAACAATAAAGCTGAATGTCTTTTTAGCCTTCTTTTTTGCTTAAGCTCCTCTTCTTTGCTCCCTCCTGATATTGAAAATGTTTCAGTATCTTCTATTAAAGTGTCTAATAATTGGCTAGATGCTCTTTTTGTTGAGAACAGAGACCCCGTTGGAGTTGAGACATTTGATCCTCCTTTTGAGACATTTGATCCCACAACTATATTGCTATCGTCAATGGATGTTCCACTATTTTTCCGCCCCCAAAGATTCTTCCATTTAAAGGAGCGACGACTGCAAAGCAAATTTTGTTGTTGTTGCTCCTTAACTTTTTGGCTATTCCGCCTTAATAGACTGCTGTCAGAATTTTGCCGATTTGTTGAAAAACGATTTCCTAGAGAAAATAGATTGGCAATTCCTGAAGAAGATGAAGGTGTAGAAGAAAATGAGGCGCTTTTTTTGTTGCCATTTTTGGTTTTGGTGTTGGAAGGTGTTGAAGAATTGCTGGTTGGAATAGAGCTGTTTTCAAGGCTGTAAGGGAAAATAGCACATAAAAAGAATAGGAAAAGAGAGAAAAAGGAAAAAAATTGACAAAAAAATAGGGTAAAGCATAGGTTAAGCTAGTATACCAATAAATAATATGTACAGTCGGACCTCGGCTTGAAATGTTCATTGGTGGTGATGAGTTTATATTTAAAGACAGGGGAGGGGGGGGGTTAAAAAGCAGATCCGGATCAAGAAAACCCCCAAGGATTTCTCAGGATCTGCCAACTAAGGTTGGCAGATAGTTAGAAATCTTCGGATATCCGGATCCGGCATCAGAACCGAAAATTTCCGGATATCCGGAGTCCCAACCCTAGTGCCAATCCGAGGCGCCAAAGCATCTACTCCAACTAGTGCAGGAAATTCTTTAAAATCGTATTTGCAAAAAAGTGGTATACATAAAAAAGAGCCAAACCAAAACCCTCCCAAAAATTTTTTTGTTATTTTGTTGTCTTAAAAATATTTTTTTTTTGAGAAATAAAATTAATCTCTCCCGCTTAATACCGAATTAAAAATATAGGAAAAACCTCTGTTTAAGAGACGTTTTTTATTTTGGATGGCCACTAGGAGGGCATGAATTTTCTTAGTTATTATCTTTAAGCAGAGGTCCGACTGTAAATTCTTCAAATATTTTTAAAATTTTTTAAACCCACCCTCTAGTCAAAGACAAATTAACACCAGCTAAAGCAGTCGCTGCCTTTAAAGCAGAAAAGGACGAAAGAGAAGTTGGAGTAGTAGTAAATGAAGGTGGAGGAGGGGAAAAATCGTCATCGTTGTTATGAACATTTCGAAGTTTAACAAGCTCCCCATCCCCACTACAAACTCTATTTAAACGTTGTTGTGGACGGCTAAGTCTGTTGGCAAATTCAATATCGTCATCCTCTATTGCCGAACTTTCATAATATTTATCTTCATTGTCTTCTTCTTCTTCTGGTTCTGTGTTATAATCATTTGAGCCCATTTGATCATTAAATTCCTAAAAAAATTTTCACGAAAATACAAAAAATAGATGGTCGGACCCCCCCCCCTAAAAAAGACTCCCTGGTGAGTAAAAAATTCGTCCCTTATAATGAAGTGTAGCTTAAATAGAAGGTATCGCCTATAGGTAGCTTCTCCAAACCAGCGATACAAAAAATAAAAATAGTCAGGCCCCATTAAAAGAGACTCCCTGTTGAAGGAAAAAAATAGAGAGAGAGACTCCCTGTAGAAGCGACTCCCTGTCGTCCCTTATAATGAAGTGTAGCTTAAATAGAAGGTATCGACTATAGGTAGTTTCTCCAACCCAAACGACCCCCTAAATTCTAAAAAACGTCCCTTAAATAGAAAGGTGGCTAGTAATGGGTGTCTACTAAAGTGAGGTCTGACTGTAAATTGAAGGCGAGACTAAATAAAGAAAATTAGAGGGGAAAAATAATAAAAAATTAAATTTAAAATTTTGTAAAAAATTAGGAAAATAATTTTTTGCATTTTCAATGACTTTTGTTTGAGCTTAAAAATATTCAATTTCAAATTTTAGATAACAAAAACAATCCCACAATTTTTTTGAAAATAAAAAAAATAATTTTTTTTCTAGCTACATACCTCTTCTCGCTTAAGTCTACGAATTTGAGCAAGAATAGGAGCTTTCTTTTTTGTTGTTGCTGCAGCCATTGAAAATTTGGTGTTGATGTTATTATATTTGTTGTTTTGAAGGTTTAAAGGCGATTCACTGTCCAACTGAAAAAATAAAATAAAAATAAAAGAAAAATATGAAAAATGTGGAGGAATGTTTTTGTATACAAAAATGGGGGGAGGTAGGGGAGGGTGGAGGGGGAGGTAGAGCGAGGAAGGGGGTTTGGCGCGAAATAACCGTTGGGCGTTTATTAGGCTCATATCTAGAAAACTCAAGATTATCTCCTATAGTCGAATTGCATTATAAGATAACATTTTGGAGATGAAAAATACCTTATAATGATGAGTATATTAAATAGAAGGTAAATTCAAAAAAGAGCCACTAATTCCTTCTCTCTCCCTTAATTTTCATGATGACTTTAAAGGAGATAGAGAAGGAAAGATGAAGAAAAAAAAAGGGGGGGGGGTACGAAACCGACTATTACAGCCATGATTTGGGGAGCTGTCTAAATGTTAGGAAGGAGTTTTGAAACTGGAAAGGTTGTCTACCTATTACTGGATTAACCTCAATTTAAGAGACGCCTTTAAAAATTTGGTTGGCCACTAATTTGGGGAGCTATCTAGACGATAGCCAAAAAAAGCTTTCAAAAAAGAGCCAAAAGAGAGACTCTCCAGTTAAGCTACCCTGTAGTGAGGTCCGATTAGCTAAAAGATAGAGCGCCCAAACGTGCCAAAACAAAAAAATTTTATAGCGCGCATTTATCGCAACAATAAAAAATAAAAATAATTTTTATACATATAAACGGTTTTTCTTGTGTAATAAAAAAAATGAGACGGAAGATGCAAATGTGCAAATGTCAAAACTGTATTTATTAGACAAATAATAGAGCATTTTATTACAAAAAAATGTAATCGATCTAAACGCGCAAAAAAAGGCAATTAAAAAAAATAAAAGAATTTTTGATGACTTTGCCTTTTTTTTGGTGCATTTTTAATTAGTTTTAAAAAGGGAGAAGAAAAAATTTTAGTGAAAAAATGATTAAGGGTATTTTGTCCTGTGTATTGGACGTTTTAAGGCCCCGCTTAACTTCGTGCATCTCAAAATCTTGGCTTAGAAGCTAGACTTGAAGCAATCTCTCGAAGCTACTATACCCGGCACTGATTATGCCCACCGTCCAATTTGTTTGGTTACAATAAAAATGGTTCTTTTCGGTCTTTGGTTTTACATGCAAAAATCAATTATTATGATCAGGTCTGATCATTCCTTAAATGATCATCTAGTTTTCTGATCATTAGTTTTGGTTAACCGAAGAATTTGAGTGACTCGAAAAAATAATACAAGAATTATTTTTGGCATTTCACTAAAGACTAGTGGAGTCTCTCTTAAACTGAGGTGGAAAGTCTTCGGATACCAAGGAATCGAACCGAAAACCCGACACGAAAAATACTCGATTCATCGTTCCAGTTAAGTTCCGAACGACAACCCTAATAATAATCCTTTATAGAAACTAGCGACTGAATAGTTGCAGATTTCTGTGATCAAAAAGAACCAAACAAAAATCTACTAAATTCTTTTAGAGCTTCAAATGAGAGAAAAATTACTAAAAGTTTGTATATTTTAGAAATTAATTGTACATAAAAAGAATTCCATTAAGATAAAAATAAAGCTTTTCTCAACTATTTTAAAAATAAGTACAATGAATAAATAAATTCTTAAGAAAGGAATTTATTTATAAAAATAAATAAATTATTTATAAAAAAATATATTAATCAACAACAATAAAAATAGGGGAAAACAGTGAAGGAAATTGATAAAATCATCTTCTCAACTGGGTACACCCCACCAACTTATCGCGAGTCCAACCTACCGCCGAGGCTATAACTTCGTTCAAAATTGTCGAATCCAGGACGCCTTGGTATGGCTCGATTCAGCTTGTCGAGGCGTATCGAGACATACCAGAGCGTCCCGGATTCGACGATTCTGAACAAAGTTATAGCTCTGTGGTAAGATGGGCTCGCGGTAAGTTGGCCTGCTCCCTTCTCTACTTAAAATGATTTTTTTTTGTATTTTGTATAGAAGCCAGAAGTTTCCCAAAAGTTTTTTTGATAAGATAATTAAATGTGGTTTTTTGTGAATTTAAAAAAATAAAATTCTCAAAGTCATGTTATTTTTTTATAAAATTATTTTATAAGGGAAATTGGATTTTTTAAAAGAAAAAAATTTTTTTCTCATTAAAATTTTTTTAAACTTTATTTTCTATTTACAAAACAGGGACCCTGCCAACATAAAAAATAAATTCCGGAGAAAAGGATCCCTGATACATCCCCAGACCTTATTTATCTCCCCTAATGAGGATCGTAGTACCCTATAAGCCAATCAAATTTTAAAAAATACAATTAAACTAGGTCTATCTAGTTTTGTGGGTAATAACTGAAAATGAAGACCGATTATTAAGGAAGCAAGCTTAGAGAAAAAAACAATCAAAAAATACGAATATGAAAAAAAAATTAAATCAGAAAACCCATCTCTGAACAAAAACGAATTTATTATTTTGAATTAAAAAAAAATTTTTTATAAAAATATTAAAGTGAAAATTTTTGGTTTAGATAGTAGATTTACATTTAAATATGTAAATAAATTGTAAACAAGGAAGAATTTTTGCTCAAATTTTTAGAAAAGTGTAGATTGATAAATGTAAACTGATAAGGTTTTTGAATAAATAATAAATTAGAAATCGCATCAAGACCTAAAATCTCGATCGAAAATCTTCGTCATCGAGACGAGAATTTTTCGAGATCCTCGATCAGGGCTAGACGCAACTGCGGATTGCGTAAATTGCATCTTTTTTGAACTTGCGGACTGCGGATTGCGGTTGCGGAAAATTTTTTTCAGTTGTGTCCAGCCCTGATCTCGATTCTCGTAGGAAACTCCCAGTCCGATCTCTACAATAAATTAAAGCCTTATTAAAAAATTAAAGACTAAATTGCATGTCTAACTAAAAAATTAAATGGTTAAAGGAGAGGAGTAAGGGAGAGGTAGGGGGATTTTTGCAAGTTGAGGGAGGGGGAGAGACAGGGGGGATTTTTGCAAGCTTGTAAGGACAACAAACATAGCCTACATATCCCTTCAAAATTCAAAAAAAAACAAAGAAAGCCTTCCTTTCTCTTGCAATCAGCAAAAAAATAAATAGACACAAAACTCTCTTTAAAAATAAGCAAAAGCCAATTGTTGTCTCATTTTTTAAAGTACCTGAGAAGAATAAATATATTTTGGAGGAGGAAGAGGATTGTTGTCCTCTCCAAACGGTTTTTCTTGATTTTTAAGTTGTTGTTTTTGAATATTTTTTGAACTGGAATAATTTAATAAATGATCAGAAATACTTCTTTGGTGGTAATATTTTTGTTTGAATGGATGGGTAGAAGGGGGGATATCTGGAATATTTTTATTTGTTGTTGTTTTTGGTGTAATTCTGATTGGTGGAGAGGTGGTGGAGGATGTTGGAGATGGCTATAATTTTGTTTGGAAATTTTTTTGTTAATTTTTAATTCAGCAATTTCTTAAGGAATAGTCAACGTCCGCAATTTATTAGTAAAAAAATTATTAAGATAGGGTTATTATGGCGCGGGGTCGCTAGGGCGCGGGAACGTTAGGGCGCAAGCTTATAAATTATGGAATAATCTAGAAATATAAAATTTTGAGGAAACTACATTTATGTGATTAGCTAAGCTAACATTTTAACCAAGATTTAGCCCATGTATGTTAATCTAGGCTCTCAAAAAATTTCAGAATTTTCAGCCCAAAATTTCAGAAATTATGAGCAAAAATGCCGATTCTTCAAAAATGACTAATTTTTCAAGGTTTATCGACTATAACTACAAAAATTCTTAATAAAAAATTATAGAAATTTTGGAGGAGTTAGTCAAGGACGTTAAAAAAGTTTAGAAATTTTTTTAAAAATTTAGGTTTCGGCTAAGTACCAGGTTTTGAGGCGCGCGCCAAAACGTGCAGGCGCCTAAACGACGCCTGCTTTTACTATAGTTAAAAAATTTAATTTAATTTAAAACCACACCTCAAAAAGCATTAAAGTAGCTACTTGTTCTTCTTCTAATAAATTAATACAAATATTTTCATTATTGACAAATTCTTCTTCTTCGCTGCCAGGTGCAGTAATTGTTGGTTCTGGGGGAAATTCGTCTGAATCTGTTGTTGTTAATATATTTTTTGTTGTTTTTGTTGACTAAAAAAATTTTTTTTAACTTTTTTTATAAAAAGAATGTAAATTTAAAGTCTTATTAAATGAGTCATAAAAAAATAAAATTTGAATTATAGGGATTTCTCATATCCCTATAATTCACAGAAAATAGGGGATTTCTCAGAAAATTAACGTTTTATGGATATACTGCATGCCAACAGGGATCCTGCCGCATAAAATATTAATTTTGGGAGTTCCCGAAACCTTCCCTGGAACAGATCCGGATCCAATTAAGGTTGGCCATATTAAGGTTGGCGGATCCGGATCCAAAAATCCATTAGGATTTGAATATTCGAAGATTTTCCAAGATCCGCCAACCTTAAGTCATATGGATAGGGTACGAATTCTATAATTCCAAATAGAGACAGAGACGAGATCTCGCTCGAAAATCTCGGTTATCGAGATCGAAATTTTCGATATCTCGATTCTCTTACGACTCTCCCGCCGTCTTTAGTCATAAATAGGGTTGGCAGCTCTTGAGAAATTTTCGAATCCGATATCCGAACTGAGATCTTCGAAGATCCGGACATCCTTTGATTTGGATCCGGCACTCTTAATCCCATAAAGAGGTTCTTTACATACATTGTCCATTTGTTGATTTGGAATAATCATTGTCTTTTCAGAATTTTCTTCCTTAGTTGAATGTTCCTCAGCAATTTTCTCTATGTTAGGACTGTCCTGACTTGTACGGCTTTTTTCAATTCCTATAAAATTTTTTTAAAATTTTTTTAAATTTTTATTCAATTAAAAATTGATTAAAATAAAGGTAATATAAAAATAATTTTTTGATTACAATTCTCTCAATTTAATCACTTAAAATGTCTTGATAATACACTAAATTTTTTATTATTTATTGTTTATGTACCTTGTGGTTCCATTAAATTATAGAGGTAAAAAAGCAGTAAAAAATTATTTTTGCAGTAAATTTTTTAGTGTCTCTGGAAGATGGGTGTTCCTAATTAAAGGTGTGGTAAGAGAAAATTCCTCACTGTTAGAAAAAAATTCCTCCCTCTCAGTATCGAGGAATTTTTGAAATTCCCCGAGAGAAGACTTTTAGGTAGGTCTGAAACTTTGCCGTATCGTCCCTTACGGGTAGCAGACTTAATATGGGATTCTAAAAGACGAAAGTCTAAACATTAAAGAAGGCAGAAATCGGCGAAAAGCGAAAGTAAAAATAGTAACAACTAGACCTTAAAGTTAATTTCCTTGGCAGTTAAGGAGTTCGGAACGTCTTTTTGAATTATAAACATATTTTGGTCTAGGTTGAACCCTCCGTTACTAAGACAACCCAGCAAAGGTGGGTCGGAACAGTCAGAGGTGTCGGAAATCGGAAGAGCCGGAATCGGAACTGCCCAAAAGTCGGAAATTGGAAACCAAAATTTTTTTCCGGAAATCGGAATTCCGACCCACCTCTGCATCTCAGGTACATGGGTAAGAGGATAAAGGTTTCTCTCAGTTGTTCATTAAAATTTCCCCCCGCTTTACTGAAACCACAAATATAAACTAGAGGGTTTTTCAAGATTGGTTAGTCAAATCCAAACCTGTAGAAGGTTAATAAAGGTAGTAATAAGGATGACGATTCCTGGGAAATTTCCGGATATCCGGATCTCGGGACTGTTATCCGAACCGAAATGGATATTTGGGGTTTTCGGTTTAGTAGCGAACACTTATAAAGACCTATGTATAGAAATTGCCCCAAACATTGATTAAAAAAAACAAATCACAAATATAAACACACAATTCACACCTTTTCGCAACTGCGCGAGTTGTACTAATTCATTCGCCTGCGCAGTCGATCTCCGTCTATGACTAGCACGTCGTTCGGCGGCCGTACGACGTTGCTGACTTTGATTATTTTGTTGATGTTTTTTGCTGTTATTTGGGGGAGAAGAGGAAGAATTTTGGTCGTTTTTTGGCGAATCATGCTGGGGCTGATTATTGATAATTTGCATATTTTTGATAAAAAAGTAGGGTCAATTTAGGGATTTAATAGAAAATAAACATTGGAAAAAAATTGAGCAAAAATTTTTTAGCCCTTAAATTAAATATTTATTTTAATGGTGATAGTACATTTTTTGGAAAATTAATTTTATTACTATTATTTAAAATAGATTAGTCACGTCTTTTGTAAAAAAATAAAATTTATTTTTTTAAATATGCTACGCTGTAAATAAATTTATTTTTTAATTAAACTTTTAAATTTGCGGACAAAAATTTTTTGCGGACAAAAATTATTTGCGGACAAATTTTTGCGGACATATCCTAAATTTTACGTCAAAGGATCCTAACCAGAGCCGCTTCGAAATTTCGAAATTGAATTGAATGATGCAGTATTTACTCAAAAAATATAAAGGGCACAGTGTCCGCAAATATTAGTCCGCAAATTTTTTGCGGACAAAACTGTAACAGAATTGAATTTAGCGTCAAAGTTTTGCCTTGCTCAGAGCTCCTATGAAATCTCGACATAATCCGCAAATTATTGCGGATAAATTTTGCCTACAAAAGCTGAATTATGTATACATCAACAATCAATCCTATCCAGAGTAGTTTCGAAATTTTAGTGATTACGGTAGTTAACTTAAAGTGTCCGCAAATATTTATCCGCAAATTTTTTGCGGACAAAAAACTACCAATATTACTTTGATCAAATATTTAATTAAAAATTGTGATTAGTTTTCTTGTATAAATTTATTTGTTAAAAAAGGAACAATAAAAACACTAATTGAATTGTTTAGGGTTGAAAAGAAATTAAAAAATCAAAAAAATTAAAAAAAAATTTTTTAATGGTAAAAATAAAATTAATTTTAATCGCAATCTTCCATTAAAAATAAATAAATAGATGGTAGATGTTTTTAGTAAAAAGGGAAAAAAAAAGATTTATAAAATACGTTTAATGATTACGTTGATAAGTTCATTCGTGTTTTAAATAAATTTATGTATTTATAGTTTAGTTAGAGATCGAATCGAGACGAGATCTTGAACTTATCTCGGTTACCAAGAATTGAGATTTTTCGAGTTAACGTAAAAATATAGTATCTAAAATACAAATTATAATAATTATACAATTTATTTGCGGATAAAAAATTTTTTTGCGGACAGTTTAGTGTTTTGCGGATAAAAAATTTTTTGCGGACATTATTTGCGGACAATTTTGTAAAAGATCACAATTAATAGCAAACTTTCATTAAAGACTCTCGATTCTCGTAAGACTCTCACAGTCCGATCTCTACTTTTATAATAAGTACTTTACTAAAATAATTTTACAAAAAAATTTATTTTTTAATTAATTCCAAAACAGCAAGAAGCTATTTTTAATAAAAATAGCTTTTCGTAGTTGAGAGAAGCGATATTCCTTTTTTGGGGTCACTTAAATAGAAAAGTGTAGGATCAATTACAAAATATATAAAAATGCAATGGAAAAATAGCAGACGAAATTAAAAAAAATTTTTTTTAATGCAAAATGAGAATTTTAATTTAAAAATGAAGAAAAAATACTTGTAAAATTGGAACAAATAAATAAAAAATTAAATGTAATCTTAATTAAAAAATATTTAAAAAAATAAAATAGACACAAGTTTCAGGGATGGTCGAACTGAGAAAAAAGTCTGGACAAGTTCTTTGTCGATTGGACGAGTTCCTGGTTGGACTACTATTGAATCTAGGGCAAAGGTGGGTCGGAACAGTCAGAGGTGTCGAAACTCGGAACTGTCGGAAATCGGAACTGGCTCAAAAGTCGGAACTCGGAAATCGGAAATACAAAATTTTTTTCGAAAATCGGAAATCGGAAGGAAAAAACGTCGGAACTCGGAAATCGGAATTCCGACCCACCTCTGATCTAGGGTAGTACAAAAATTAAATAGGCACATATTAAAATTACTGATTATGTCATTTAAATAGAATTAATCATTTTTACATAGTTGTCATATGTATGTATGTGTTAGAGAGAACTAGTAAGGGTAGGACTGTGTAAAAATTCAATTTTAGTTAGTGATTGATTTAACAAGAAAATAAATAAAAATATTTCAATTTTTATGAAATTTATATGTGGATAAAAAAGTAAAAAATTGAATTTTAAGAAAGCAAGACATTTTTATGCTTAAATGAGTATAAATAATAAAAATGATAATTAGCTCCGCTTTTTCGAAAATAATGGATAAAAATTCGGACAAATACGGAGAAAATTTGTGGGCAAAAAATGCAGATGAATTTTTTTGCGGACAAAATTTGCAGAAATTAAAAACGCGGATAAAATTTTGCGACAAAAAAAACCGGACGATTAAAGCGGACAAAAAATGTCGAGATTAGAATTTAAGACAAAAAAGTTTGAAAGATAAAAATTCAAGTACATAAAATTAAAAAATCAGACATAAACATTTAAAAATAATAAAATTAAGATTCTAAAAATTTTTATGAAAAAATTAAATTAAATGGCCAGATAAATATTTTTAAATAAAAATGAATGATTAAACAATTTTTGTATTTGTTTTTGAAATATTTGAATAAATACAAATGCAAAAAATTTTTTTTAAACACAATTTTAAAGGAATGCCACGTTGCATATTTTTAATTTTTCGATAAAAAATGTTATAAAATATAATCAATTCTTTTTAAATTTTTAATTGCTCTAAAAGGTGGGCTGACGTGAAATATGTAAAAAGGTTAGGACGTGGAAGAAAGGAGAAAAAAATTAAAAATTAAAAAAAAATTTTTTTGGTTAAGGAATTTTGATTAATAGTTTTTTAAAATTTTTTAAATAATATTAAAATCGAATTATTAAAAATTAATTTTGGGTGAATTATTGTAATGGCCTATTCCTGAGGGATAAATACACCACAATGCGAGGATTCAAAATTTAGCCAAGTAAGCTAGTCAATGTAAATTTAGAGACTCAGTCGAATGAGTTACTGACAGATTACAGGGCATTCCCCTATTTTTGATCTTTTCGCTCTATTTTAGTGTTTTGGAAATGACAACCCAGGCTACGGGTTATCAAATTATAAGTTTTATCACACAGATGAGTTATGTCACTCAATACCGAAAGAGCATGCTTGAGAGGGGTGTTGTCCCAACTAAAACAAAAACGAGATCCCGAACAAATATCTAGGTAATCGATATTGTTTCCGGATATTAATAAGATTTGAACCCCGACTCAGTTTAACACCGACCCTGTACCTTAACCATTTTTTGGCTAAAACCCCCTACCCCAGTAACCTTAACCCCAAAAAACCATTTTCGACCTCAAGGGTTAGGGATTAAACAAAAAATGGACGAGGGGAGGAGGGAACGGATCAGGCACTATCACACCATACTAATTAATAAAATGTAACTAAATTAAAGATTTTTTGGAGCCTAACAGAAAAAAATATTTTTAATTTTTGTCGTTTTATGTGTTGTGTTCACATTAACTCTCCGCATCGCTCAATAACCACATAAAAATAAATTTTCTCTCCCAAACTGCTTTTTACAATCGGTTGTGTCCAACATTTAGTTGTTCTACTCCAATAACTAGGGGAAAGTTATAGGGGAAAATGAAGGAGAAGGAACATATGAGGGGGAGAAAAGCATTAATAATAAAATTTTTTGAATGTAAAAGTAATTCTTTAGGGACAAAACACCGTCCAGACAAATCACAGTCGAGACATTCGAGTCCCGTCCAGTTTACTTAAAGGTACAAATTTTAAAATGAAAATGCTGGGCATAGGAGTTAGAGTATCGTGTAACCAGAGATGTACGAAAATAAAATTTTGTTCCGAAACGAGACGAAAATATTTTTTAACGAAATAAGAAATGAAAAAAACGAAATTAAATTAGAACGAAACATGAAACGAAAAATTTTCGTGTATTTCTGGTACTAACCAATACATAATAGGCTTAGATATTAAAACTAGAGGTCGGCGCGGAATCAATTCCCGCAATCCCGCACTTTTTTTGATTTAGGGGATTTTGCGGGAGTGCGTAATCTTGCGGGATTATTCTCGCGGTATCGACTTAAAAAATCCCGCATGCGGGATCACTCAAACAAAATTTTGCCGACCTCTAATTAAGGAACATATTGAGGGGGATACCGACATAAATCGAATTTATTGACTGTAAAAACGGACGGCTTCTTTACTCTAAAGTTCAGACGGTTAATTGTTCGGACAGTGTTTTGCCCTCACCCAAAAAGAAGAAAATAAGGGGAAAATTAAAATAAAAAATAATATTAAAAAATTGTTTCGTTTTCCAATGACGATAACTGATTAAAAAGATGAAAAAAAAGAGAAGTATTTATTAAAAGAATGATGAAAAAAAATTATTTGGGAAGAAAATTCCTTTAAAGATAAATTAAAAAAATATTTTTTTAAAAAGAATTAAAAATCAATTTTTAGACGGTTAATAATCAGACCACTTGATAAAGTAAATACCCTGTTTATTATAAAAATGAAGATAAAAAAAGAGGGACTGTAATATGTACATTAGGTTGTTCTACATATCTCTTCGAGAGCAGAGGTGGGTCAGAACAGTCAGAGGTGTCGGAAATCGGATGTCGGAAATCGGAACTGGCTCAAAAATCGGAACTTGAAAATCGGAACTTGGAAATCGGAACTCGGAAATCGGAACTCCGACCCATCTCTGATCGAGAGTCGCGGAATTTATGAAAAAAATTTTCACAGGGCCTTCATCGGGAAGGGGAACTAGAGGACGGAATTTTGAAAAAAACCGGGAACGGGAAACGTTAAAAGAAAATTAACCGGCCGGGACCCATACAGGGAAAACCGGGAATTCTCGATCCCGTTTCATCCCGGCAGCTTCAAAAAAGCCGGGAAAAAGGACCGGGAAACGGGACCGGGTCCTGATCCCGTTCGGCTGTCTAGGGGAAACCCCCAATAAAAATAAGAGCAGTTAAGAGAGACCATCTGGTCCGAGGCTGTGTGATGGGATTTTCTATAAATAGAGGATTTCAGAAGGCTACAGGGATCTAGCCGAC